TGTTGTTTATCGGGAGCGCATACGAAGAAGCGAGGGCCGGGATTTGACAAGCTCCAAGGTAAACATTGACCTGGTCACCGGTAGGACACAGGAGCCCCCACCGGCCGGGCAGGCCTCGGCCTCTCCCTAGAGCAGAAAGGCACCGTTGCCAAGCCGCCATCGACCGCCACGTCCAACACCAGGGCACTGATGACACTGGTTCACAGCTGTCTGGCAGTAATAAGTGACAAGCAACAAGTGATGGGACGAGAGGAAACGGCCTGAAGATGCACCAGGGCAGGTTTAGATTAGATATTAGAAAAAATTTCTTCACAGAAAGGGCTGTCAAGCACTGGAAGGGGCTGCCCAGGGAAATGGTTGAGTCCCCATCCCTGGGGGTATTTAAAAGGCAGGTAGATGTGGCACTTAGGGACATGGTTTAGTGGTGGACTTGGCAATATTAGGTTTCCGGTTGGACTCAATGATCTCCAGGGTCTTTTCCAACCTAAATGATTCTACAATTCTATGATTCTTTCCCTGTTTTCATTCTCTTTGTGGTTAGAATAATTTCTGTGCTGGTATTCATCATTTTGATCCTGTGAGCTACTGGCAACTCCAGACGGGACAGCCTAGCTCTGCTGCCGGTTGTACTGCACCTTCCTACACGCCATTGCGCAGCGCTTGCCACAACTTTGTTTTCTCAGCAGCCTGAGCCAGGGTTACACAGTTGCACCATCTTAGAGTTGGACCTTTGCCTCTTGACACAGAGGGAGGTAAAAGCTGGGGAGAAGATGAAAGGGGAAGGGTTGCAGAGAGATGTTCACAGTCTATAGGAGGAAGGTAAAAAGGAGCATGCTTGGCATTATCTTCTTAATGGAAATTGCACCAAGTACAACAGAATGCTGCAACTTCACAAAGGAGCTAAATTGCATCTTCCGTTTTTTGCTGCTGACAGTTGTACCCAACAGACGCACATGCACACACACACAATTTTCTTCCACTGAGGTTGCTGACCTACGAAATCACTGTTTACAAAAATCTGTGACTATGTATGCTTTGGTGGGGACATGTGAAAAAAGATGAAAAAACCCAGGGCCAAGTCAAGTTGGTCTTTGGGAGATACAGTTATTAGGAATCATAGAACCCCTTGGATTGGGAGGGCTCTGGGGGAAGCCACCTCGTCTTGCCTGCCAGCACCCCAATGCTTTTTGGCTGAGCTGCTCCAACCAGTGGGTCCACAACCCCATCTTGATGCTTGGGGGCTATTCCAGCTCAGGGACAGGACAGTGTCTTTGTGTTTGCTGAACTTCAGGAGGTTCCTCTTGGCCCGTTCCTCTGTCTCATCCAGGGTACCTCTGAAGACTAATCCTGCCATCAAGGCCGTGAACTGCTTCCCCCCCCTCTGGGTTACCATTACCCGCCGACTTGCTGACGTGCCTTCCGCCCCTTGTGCTGGTAACTGATGATGCTGATGCTGAACAGGATCGGCCCTGACGTTGTTCCTTGAGCAATGCCACCTCTGCTGAGAGGGACCTGGGAGTCCTGGTGGACAATAAGCTGACCATGAGCCAGCAATGTGCCCTTGTTGCCAAGAAGGCCAATGGTATCCTGGGGTGTATTAAGAGGAGTGTGGCCAGCAGGTCGAGGGAGGTTCTCCTCCCCCTCTACTCTGCCCTGGTGAGACCCCACCTGGAGTACTGTGTCCAGTTCTGGGCTCCCCAGTTCAAGAAAGACGAGGAACTCCTAGAAAGAGTCCAGAGGAGAGCTACTAGGATGATAAAGGGACTGGAGCATCTCCCCTACGAGGAAAGGCTGAGAGAGTTGGGCTTGTTCAGCCTGAAGAAGAGAAGACTGAGAGGGGATCTCATCAACGCATACAAATATCTTAAGGGCGGAAGTCAAGAGGACGGAAGCAGTCTGTTTGCAGTGGTGTCCAGCGACAGGACTAGGGGCAATGGATGCAAACTGAAACACGAGAGGGTTCAGTTGAATATGAGGAAGAACTTCTTCACTCTGAGGGTGGCAGAGCACTGGAACAGGCTGCCCAGGGAGGTTGTGGAGTCTCCTTCTCTGGAGATATTCAAAGCCCGCCTGGATGAAGTCCTGTGTAGCATGCTCTAGGTGAGCCTGCTTTAGCAGGGGGGTTGGACTAGATGATCTCCTGAGGTCCCTTCCAACCCTTGCGATTCTGTGATTCTGTGTGATTCTGTGATTCTGTGATTAACCGCAGCTGGAGTGCAGAGTCCCAGTAAAAGCCTTGTGCAGCCCCCAGGGGAGGTGGCTGATGGTGGAGCAGCCCTGACTCCCGGAGGACCCCAGCCCTGGTACCCAGCAGCTCCAGTCTCAGTCCCACCTTGGCTTTGCTGCTGTTGGTTTTCATCAGCAGCGCCGTCACATGCTCTTGCACCTCCCTGTCCCACAACATGGGTCACCCTTGGTGGCCTGGGCACCCAGGACCCCTTTAAAGGAGGAGTGGGGACACAACCAGCTTGCCCATGGCTAGTGGCCACCTGCCCCACAAAATGGGGCACTGGGGGTTAGGGGCAGGGGACTGGAGTCACAGAGTGAACGATGGGGGCAGCAGAGGAGCCTACGCTCACACCAGAGTCCCACAGCAAGACCCTGCACAGGCAGCAATGGCTTCTGCTGGGCTATGGTGGCACGGGGGGGCAGGGCACAGCCAGCCCTGCCAAGGGGGCAGAGTTAAGCCCAGGGGTTGGGGTGCAGTTTCACCCCCTCTCAGCCCTTGCACAGCTCCCCAGCCCCCTGCTGTCACATTCCATGCTGCAGAGGAGCCACCCCCCAGAGTCCCACAGCAAGCCCCTGCACAGGCAGCAATGGCTTCTGCTGGGCTATGGTGGCACGGCACAGCCAGCCCTGCCAAGGGGGCAAAGTTAAGCCCAGGGGTTGGGGTGCAGTTTTACCCCCTCTCAGCCCTTGCACAGCTCCCCAGCCCCCTGCTGTCACATTCCATGCTGCAGAGGAGCCACCCAGGGCTGTGACAGCCCCTTCCCCCAGCCAGCTGGGGGCAAAGCACAAGTGGGTTGGTGCTGCAGCCCCCCCTGCTCCCAGCCAGCCCAAAGGCAGCTCCCAGCTCAGGGCTGCACCCCCAGGGTGACCCCCAAGTCCCCAGAGCCAGGCAGGGACCCAGACCAGAGCATCCTCCTCCCCACAGCCAGACCTTGTGCCCACTTATTTCCCTTAACCCAGAGACATGAATTCCCTTACACAAGACAAGTGTTTATTCAGAGTTAATGTTTATAGACAAAGAGGTATTTCCCCTCCCCCCCCAACATACTTAATAGCATTTTTTTTATAAATAAACATTAGTGCTGGGAGCTTGCCAGCTTCACTGACAGCAAAGTGCATCGCGGTGCAAGGCAGGAGGTTGACCCCATTCCTTTTCTGCCTGGGACCATCTTGCACCAGTTTCCAGAGTCCAAATCCAGCAGAGCAGGAGATGAACCCCATGAAAGTGCTGAGACCTGACAGTGTCAAGTCCTTCAAGAGCAGGGACTCATCCTTCAGCGCTGGGACCAAGCAGCCTTCGCCCCAGGACATCCCTTGGTCCCAGAGGCAACCGAAGCCCCTCGCTCTGCAAAGCCAAGTGAGGGCCCTCTCTCCCCCCAGCCCCAAAGGAGAAGTAGTCCAGGAAAAACAAAAACAAAAGAAGCTACAGTTTCATCTTTCGGTGTCATCCTTGCTGGTAGGCAGGACTCCTTCCTTCCTAGAGGAGTCCGGCATGGCCAGAGCAGGCAGCTCCCCCGCCTGGCGTCAGTGTTGAAGGAGGCAGGAACAGGAGGGCAAACAGCATCACTCAACAAGCCCACAATAAGGTAAGAAAGTGGGGGTTTGGGTCTGCAGAGTCCAGGGGACCCCAAAGCCTCCCAGGCAGCACTGGTCCCACAATGAGCTCAGCAGGTGATGGCACCAGCGACTCACCCCAAGGAAGGGCTGTCCAGGGAACAGCGTTTCCTCTCCCAAGCAGCAGTGGGAAGGAGCAGCCCCCACATCACACCCCACTTTCATGCATGGATGAGGGCTTGCGCTGCTGGGTCTGTCCTGCTGGGAAGAGGGCCACCACCATGTGCCAGCAATCAGGGTGTCCTCAGGGCCAGGCTGTCCCAGGGCTCTACAGTCCATATGGGTGACCCTTTCTTAAGGTTATCTGGTGCCACCAGGTGGCTGGGACACGAGTGACCTCCATGGCCAGCCATCAGGCAGGGGAAGGACGACAGCAGGATGGCGCAAGGACGATGCCTGGCCCCACCAACAAGGGGCAGAAGACACTTTCTCCTCTGCAGGCACTGCAATGCCTTAGTCCCACCAGGCCCATTTCAGTCCTCCTCCATCCTCTTTGTGGGGCTACAAGCCTCAACATGGGCTACTCCCATACATTGCACACAATGAAGGTCCCTCAGGACCCCAGAGCTACTCATAAATAGGGAACTACAAACTCTACATTGCTTCATACAGACAGCTTACACAGTACAGGGTGGGGGAAAGAGCCATGGACACCCCCAGGGCACGTCAGCATCAGCAGCTGTCCCCAGTGGCAGAGGAGCCGAGCGCCACCAGGTCACGGCTTGGGCTTGTTGGGGACAATCCTCCGCTTGGAGCTGTAGAAGTCTGGAAGGCAGAAAGAGAGGGTTGGAAAGTGCCTCCAGCCCATCAGGAGCAGCGGGGCAGGAAGAAGGTGGTGTCCCCAGGGAAGCACCTCAAAACACAGCCCAGGTGGACTCCATTTTAGAGCCACCCACCCAAAGCCATGCATTCCTGGGGAGAAGAGCCTGTAGGTCTCCACCATCTCTTCTATTTGGTCTCACCTGCATTTCCACCCCAGCCCTTGATCTCAGAGGACAGGTGCAGGCCATGGGAACTGAGGGTGATGAACTATTTTGGGGCATCTTCAGCTGTAAGACCCACAAGCCCAATGTGAGCCCCCTGCCTAAGCCCCAGCAACCAACAGGCACCCAGTCTGCAGCCTCTTCCCCTTGGAAGATGGGCTCTGCTCTCCCAGGAGAGAGATGCATGGAGGGTGGTCTCCTCCCCATGCTCAGGAGGAGCCAAGCAGGGCTCTTGCACCCAAGTCCCCTCCATCTGTCCCTACTAGGAAAGCCATGACACCAGCAATGCCACCAAGCATGCATGGAGTGACACCAGGCCTGCAGCACTCACCTTTCATGGTGGTCTGTCCACGTTTCAAGCTCTGAGGGGAACCAGCCCTGTAAACCTCCGAGCTCTGCTGAGACACCTCAGGGCAAATCGTATCAAGATGGTCCTTGGGGACGATCTTGTGAACCAAGGAGCTCCTGCTCTTACTGCCAGTGACCTCCTGGGGCAGCTGCTCAGCCAGGAAGACCCTCTCCCACTTGAATTGTCCTTCCAAGGGAGTATCTGTCTCAAAGTTGAAGTTCCAGCGCTGTTGAGCTTCTTCCAGGTGTTGCCTCAACAGGTTCCCAAAGTCATTCTGGAGCTCCTGGTGGTCCACGGGGCCAAAGAGGTTCCTGCACACTTTGGTGCTGCATGGTATCTGCCCAGTCCTGCTCTGAGACAGGGGCATCGTGGCGGCTGGGAGGAAAGCAGAGTGAGTTACTGGGCTGGCGGGCAAGCCACAAGCAAGCCCAAGGGCTGGCAGAGTAGCTACCAGGGCAAAGCAGGCAGTAGACAAGGTGGGACAGACTGGGTCAGGCTCTGCAATGAGGCAGCCCAGAGGGACCTCCATCCACCAGCACTCATCTTGGACTCAGATGTTTGGGATTTTAGTGGTGTCTTGGGCAGAGGCTCGAGCATGACTGAGGTCAAACACAGCCTGGCGCGATGCAGAAGGATGGGGAAGGTGCAAATGTTGACGTTCCCCATTCCTCCTCCAGCAGGTAAAGCCCTGCCAGGGCAGAGCATCCAGCACCTCGATGCTGCCGCTGTCTGCGTCCACAACCCCGCTGCGTTCCCACTTCCACGCAGGCACAAGGCAAGTCGGCGCATGGGCAAGTGAAGCAACAGGATGTTTTTCTGGCCAGTTTCTTCATCTCAAGAACCCAGGCCCAGAGGCAAGGAAGCCTTTTAAGCAACTGCAAGAACACGCCACCAGCTTGACCACTTTGCTAACCACTCCTTATCTGCAAGAAGCTGTTGGGTAACCAGAGACAAGACCCTGTTTGTTTGTTTTTTTTCAAATTAGTGCCAAAAGCCTTGACCTTCACAGTCAGTGGCAAAGCCTTTCCTTCCAAGCCATCCTCCCCTTTACAAATGCGTGGGGCTAATGGATCCCTCGTGCCACCCGCAGTTGTGATGAACCTCGGTATCAGAACAAAGCAAATACCACTCGGGGATTTGATGGCTTTTGGAACTAAGGCTTGACCCCGTTGGATAGCCAGGCTTATTAAATCTACTTTAAAATAAAATATATATTCACAGAAATAAAATCCCTGTGTGCAAGACAGCTTTGTCATTGCTCACCCAATCTGGGACCCCCAAAGCCAGGACCACAGCAGGCCCCCTGGCTTGCACCCCCAACCCTCAAGTGTCCCCAGAGAGGGGGTGCTCAGCCCCCTACAGGGAATATTTCTGCCCAAATTCGGCACCCCCAGCCCCTCCGGATCTCCTGTGCTGCATAACCAGGCATGCCACCGGCACAGCGTGGCAGCAGGCGGCCGGAGACCCTCCAGCCTGGGGGCTGGTGGGGCCACACACCATCCCCGGGGGCCACTCCAACCCTGCTCCCAGACTGACCATCCCCGGGTAAAAATAGAAATCCAGCTTCCTATCTCCTGGCAGTCGGAGTGGATAAACAGGGTGACCTCATTGCAAGGCAAGTCCCAGCATGCCCAGGCAAGCCCTGGCAGGTAGCAGGGAGGGAATGTTTCGACACCCTGACCGGACACCCTCCTGCCCTCCCCGCCTGCGTCAGGCACCGATCTCCCCATCCTCGAGCCACCGCCAGGGCCCAGGTGCCACCCCGGAGCCCCACGCCTCGAGATAACAGCTTCGCCTTGACTCATGATCGCAGATTGCCGGAGCCACCAAATAGGGAAGGACAAGGGCCAGGTCACCGTCCCCTCCCATGGGGCCGGGGTTGCTTTTAGCAGCCTCCCCAAAGCAAGAGCTTCAAGGTTTCCTACAACCCAGCTGGAGAACCCCGAGGCTTGGGCAAGGAGGTGACGCAGGTGCAAGGTTGTGTTAAAACCTCACCCAGCTGGGCTGGGAGATGAAGGCGCTCCCGGGGACCCGCACGCACCCTCGCCAGCCCCACAGGCACCTGCGACACCCAGGACCAGTTACACCAGTTGGGAAGAAGGCTTGGGGAG